AATTAAAAATCTTTTATTTTGTAAAATGTGTAATTAACAAGGATTGACTATCCCATCCACCAACTCTTCATTTTGTGAAGGCGTGGTGGAGGGTGTGTATGGGTGGGACTTGGAACTGGTTGTCCAATGGGATCAGCTGTAATCTCTCACATTCCATCTAACATATAACAGAAAATTGATTTTTCTACACCTTAAATACAGATACATGTAAAAATGAGGATTTAGAATGAAAAATAATTATATTAGGATTAAAACAGCACAATTAAAGTTTTAAAAAAATGTATTTTGAAGGTACATGTAAACTCCATTTTATTTTTTTTTTTAAATATTTTCCAGGTAGAATACTTTTAAAACTCTAGGTAAATACACGGTCGCCACTAGGTTTTGTACATGTACATTGAGTTTTGACAGGATTACATGAACCGCAATTGGAGAAACTACAACAATTTGATTTATTAATCAGTGTGATTTTATTTGAGCAGTGATCATTATGATTGATTTCTGAGTTAAAACTGAATGCATGTGCCTTGTTTATGCTAGTAATTACGTAACCGATAATTTGGGATTTGGATACAGAGTTTACAAAGCATAGATTATGAAAAATATTTAAATAGCATTTTTATGACTCCTGTTTTAGATGGTGGATCCGCAAGGGGGTGGGAGTGGGGCAAAGTTTAGTTATTAATTTTTTTTTAATAATATTTCCATTAATTATGAAAATCTTTGAAGATAACAAAATGCTGATGTAATATGAATATCCAAAAGTGGACTTGATCTAGACAATTTTCAAATTGTCTTACCTAAGTTTTAATATTTTTGAGATTAATTTTTGCGATGTTGAACAACATTTAAAAAATCATATTCTCTAAAATGTAATTAAATGTATAAATATACAGTATATCAGATTTACATTTGTATGTTTTCATTGTATCGAAGCTGGTAAAAAATCAATCTGATTAAATTCAGATCTTTGTTACGCTCCGATATTTTGATGATCGCTGTACAAAGTGCAGCGACCATCAAAATATCGGAGCGTTACAAAGATCTGATTTTAATCAGATTGGTATAGAATGAAAAAATCATGCATAACTAAATGGACCTGTTTCAGACAATGCTACAGACAGTGTTGTCTGTACACATTAAGACCACGGAAGATTATAAACATGCAGTTTACGTCATTTCCATCTGTTACAGTCAAAACATTCAATAATGATAGACGTTAAACAGACGTCTGAAAAAATTCTGGATTGAAATTCCAGTTTGAAATTCAAGCCACCCACAGAGTCTCTACTGTTTGATCCAAACGACAAAAAATTTCAATTCTGAATACATGAAGTTTGAAATTAATGTAGAAATAAGAATTTTCTATCCAATATTTTTAAGGACACACAAAAGAGATATATATAGAAGATATAGTCTAAGATACTTTCTTTCAGGGGACGGTCATTTGATTCTAAAGACAGAGATGGGGGCTGGCAAATTTTGTGGAGTCAGATTGTTTGTGTTCATGCCTTCACATATATAGCAGAATATATTTATTTCAAGGATGATAAAAGGAATCTTCACGGAAAAAAATTTAACAGCCCGAACGGGGAGGGAGGGGGTGTCCAAACTCAAAAATTCTCTTATTTATTACCAAGATCTTTCAGTTTCCTCCCCCAAAAAGGAATAAAATGGTCGTAACCTTTTTTTTTATTTCTTTTAAAGTACTGGACAGAAAATTCTGAACTATGTAAATTTCAAACTTTTCCGAAATTGAATTTTTTTGTCTTTGGATGTTTTGACTGTAACAGATGGAAAAGATGTAGGCTGCATATTTCCAATCTTGCCAGTTAATGTTCCGCCGTCTTATTTTACTTTGAAAAATGCCATTCCTCCCTCTGAGTGACATTTATTTATTCTTTAAAATTCCTGAGGAAATAGATGTATTGTTAAGTTTTACTTTCAAAATAGCTGGCCACTAAGAAATTTGAATTAATTTAGACTAACCAGCAATACTTTATATTTTCCTTCTTCAATAACATGAATAATGTAAAAATTTCACTGTTCATACAAACTCAAGGTGAATTGATACAGTGATTGGCATCAGCAGAGATTGAATTTCACTTTGCACAACTTTCATTAATGGGGCTCATTTTTAGTATGAGTCATGACAATTTTATTAAATAGCCCAGGGGGGTTGGGGTTGGGGGTCATCTCTGATACTTTTAACCTGTACAAAAAAAATCAAATCAGTCCCTTTTTCTGTCAACACTAATTAATAATTTGTATAATTAACAAACTGAATGAAATTATACATTCAGTGTAGGTAGAAATATTTTTTAAAAGGAAGACTTTATTAAATTCTAATAATCTCAATAAAGGTCAAGGTCAGAGGACAGGTCTAATGATGTGTATCTACACTTACATGTGTCTTGACAAACAACATTTATTGTTTTAAATTTTGTTAGCATTTTAAAGTAACATATGCCTCAAGAGAAAGTATTTTTATAAAGTAAATCAACCTATTAATCAATTCATCCAAAATAAGGAATCAAGGATGCAAACTTTGACAGATATTTGTATTCACTGGGAGCAAATTGGTCAACCGTGTCTAATATATGTGATATTGTTTTGTAATAGATCTTGTACTCAATACGTAATTTACCATTTTATCTTGGCCATTACATTTCATGCATTAAATCAATAACATGCCAAAAAAAAGTACGCATTCTAGTTTTAGAGCGAACTCAATAAAAGCGGAATTAGCGTCTGTGATTTTTACCCCAGGGAGATGTGCGCGAGGCAATCAATGTCAGCAGTTTTGAGGGAAGGATCTTAAGTTTTACTGGTTTTAAATTAAAGCTAGAATACATGTACTTATTATTCAGAAGCCTTTGCACCTTTTTTCCGTTTTTTTTTTTTTTTTTTTTTTTGTTTTGTTTTGTTTTGTTTTTTTGAAGGGGGGGGGGGGATTTTCCATGCAAATCATATGCGGTTAAAAAAGTAAAATAGAATAAAAAGAAAGTGAAATAGATTATAGTAAACTTATTAATTGTTCATTAAAAATTAGACGCCTTTCAAGTTTTTCAGTGTTTCCATATCAAACTATTTTTTTCCTAGTATAAATTAACATCGGGCACGATGAACTTGGTTGTTGTGGAAGTCTCTCGCCTTATTAAGGTATCATACCGGTAATTGACCAATGAAAATGAACTAAGTCAATTGTAGTTCCATACATATCAAATTATTATTTTTTCCTTTTGATTTTTTTTTTATTTCCTTCCAGTCTATTTTTACAATTTTGGTACCTGTGTCTAGTGCATTTTACATAATTATTTTGTAAACAAATTAAGGTTTTTGACAGGAACAATTTTTTCAGGGCATAGGAGGCTACTTCCTGGGGTAGAAGTTTATTTTAATTTCTTTTACTAAGAAAACGGAAAACTTAGTATCCACCCCCTCAAATCTGCTGCCGTTAATTGTCTCGCCAGCGTTAGGGGAATATGGGTGATTTGCATCAATTACACTTTTATTGACTCCATCGCTGAGGAAAAATAGACGGGATTTCTTGGCATGTTCTCAGTTTTATCATGCTTCTGTTTATTGGCGGTTCAAGCAAATTCTCTACGAGTTTGGCAGGCGCCAATTTGCCTCTTTGGAAGTTACAGATTTATCCGGCACAGTGATATACTGGATAGTTGAATTTCTTGCTGCTTTATATTGTTATATCTTTAGCCTCATATCTTTAGCCTCATTGTGATGTCACTTTAGCGTGAGTTCCTCCGTGTACATGTACATTTCTACGCGTGAGTTAGTCCTAAAAATCTTACGTTTTCCAGGCTTTTCTCACGATTTTGATGCTTGACATGCCAGGAAAACGTCAGAACTGGTACAATTATGAAAAGTAGAAATTTTTCCGTCTCCAACTGAAATCGATTTGCAAATCGAATTAAATGTCAAACTCACAACTTATCGATAGCACAATGTCTCTACTTATCACCAATATCGCTTAAAAAATATATATTATTCCACATTTCGATACAGATCTCTGAGATTTTAAGATGCACAAAATCAAAACGCACCTCGACAGTTTGATAAAATGTTTTCATCAGACACGTTATATTACAAAAGAACAATAAAAGCGATATTGGTAAGTACTAGAGGCATTGTACTGTTAATAAGATGTGAGTTAAACATTTAACTCGGTTCGCATGCATCATAAATCGACCTGAGAATGCCGGGTGGATGCGGCGAATTTCCACTTTTCTGATGTTTTCCTGGCACGTCAAATATCAAAATTGTGAAAAACGCCTGGAAAACGTCAGATATTTCGGATTATGCGTGAGTTTATACGAAAATGGCATTCAAATCAATTTCATTGTTGGTAAAGTAGAAAAACAGCAAAACACAAAAATGGCATTCAAATCAATTTCATTGTTGGTTAAGTAGAAAAACAGCAAATGTAAATATTTTCTTACACATGCAGCAAATTGATAATCAAAATAATAATTCGATTAAGTAAATATACAAGTATGCTAAGATGCGATTTAAAAAATCATTCAAAATCTTCAGAAAATGGCTGTTGCTAATATGATTCTTTACGCTTTCTTGGGTGGAACATACAAACAAATATTTAACATGAAATTTTTAAGTATGAAAATAAATTCACCCTTACAAGTTTATGGGTTTGTAAGAAGCAGTTGCTTTGCACTAGGGGAGTATGATTTATCTTTGCGGAATAAATCTTCAAATTTCCTTCACCATAATGCAAGAAATGAAAATAATTTCTAAAAATATTCGATTCTGAGTAACATACAAGAGTAGGAATGTAGGATGTGTAGTGAACAACCATGTCCATTTTGATCTGATGATCCGCACCCATAAACTCATCGGATCAAGTTGTTGTAGTGTTTATACATCACACATGAATCCTTTGTAACATACACTTAAATTTGCGCATGTATATTAAGAAATTTAAGTTTATAGTGAAATAGTAATTTCTCTTTTTTTTTTGTAAGGTTGAAAAGATGCCCCCAAAGGTGAAATATAAGCCTTTCAAAAGGAACACACTTCTTGAGGAACTCCAAAGTATTCTTCATGAATATCCAGATAATGAACAAATTATCAAGGTAATATTTTTTTTTAAAAAAATGTGAGACCTTCTCAATTACATGTAGTTCTTTGTTAACTCTGGTCTACTACTTGAATGGGAACTGTGCAAAATATAGTATTTCTATTTCTATCATGTTGTAATTTTTGAATTTACTAAGGACCGGAGGTAAATGCAAAATTTACAACATGATAATCAGTTATCATGTTGTAAATTTTGCACTTATACCTTCCCCCTAGTAATTCAAAATTTACAATATGATATTTCTACTGTACTTGCAATTTGATGAATTGATACTTTTACGTGATACGTGTACACCATATTTATTTTCCATAACTTGAGATTGATATTAAAGGTACAAATATGCCTTATTATGGGCTGAATATACATTGTATTGCATTTAAATTCAAATTTAATTTAAAAAATGACGTAATTTGAAAATTAATAATTTTAGGAATTGCTACAAAATGCCGAAGATTCAGGAGCGTCTGTGGTTAAAATGGGATTTTGTCCTTCATCGAATGCAGATTATCTACCTGATCCCTACAGAAAATACCTATCGGTAGGATGTTGTATTACATGTATTAATCTTTTAGAAGGAGAAGCTCCAAGAAGATTTCTGATTGCAAGAACCAAAATATAAACGCGCAGATTCTGTCATCCTTTATTGGTCTGATGTATGTCTTCATCTGTCTGTGGTACATGTACATGTATGTTATTAGCACGCTTAGGCCAATGACGCTGGTATGCTTTTCTTATCGAAGTTTGTCCATCGTCGGTCTGTCTGTCGGTCTGATAACTTTTTGAACATTTTGACTTCTCCTAAACCAATTTACCAAGTGCATCAAATTGGCATAGAGTATTCTTGGGTGACGAGATTAAAGTCTGTTTAACCCTTTTCAAAAGAGATACCTTATCAAGAGTCAAAAAGGTTCATGTCATTTAAAAATCATTTTCCCAAGAGGCACAGGGCCAGAAGATATGAAGCATATCCTTTCGTTGGCAAAAGATTTTAAAGAATGCTCATCAAAAGGGGGGTAATAAAAAAGGTCATAAATAAAATATGAACAACAATCTTCTTTACTCCTGGAAATCGAGTAATTAAATTGTTAGCATGATTGTAATAATCATTGAGTCCACTACCAAAATTTTGAAATTCATGGCCCCAGGGTCAGGGGTTTTGGTGCTAGGGCGGAGCTATATAAATCATACAGTGAAAGTGCATTATTTCTTTTGAAAATCTTTTCTGCTCCTGTATTAAGCAAACTAACTAAGTACATAGTTATGATGAGCAAGGGTGCTTAGTTCAAAACTGTGAATTTCAAAGCCCCTGGTTCAGGGTTTCCGATGTTAGGGCGCGGCTGTATTGATTATATAGTGAAAATGCATTAATTCTTCGGAAAATTTTCTTCTCTGCTCCTGGGTATTAAACCGATTAAATACATATAAGTACATAGTTATTATGATCAAGGGTGCCTCTTAAAATATTATGAAATTCATGGCCCCTGGGCCAGTGGTTCTGGTGTGTGTGTGTGGAGGGGGGGGGGTGTTATTGATTATATAGTGAAAACGCATTATTTCTTTGAATTTTTTTTCTTCTCTGCTCCTGGGTATTATTTAAACAAACTAAGTGTATGGTTATGATAAGAAAGAATGCCCCTTCCAAAAATATTGAAATAATGGCCCAAATGTCGGGGCGTCTAGAGAAAGAGGAGGCTATATTGATTAATTAGGTAGTGAAAAAACGTAATTTCTTTGAAAATATTTTTTTCCAGTCCTGGTAAGAAAGCAAAGAAATTAAGTGTAAAGTCATGATGATCAAGAGTGCTTCTTCCAGAATTGTGGGTTTCATGGCCACTGGGTCATATGTTCTGGTGTCCTATTGATAATATAGTGAAAATGCATTTATTCCTTTAAATGACCCTGTCTGCTCCTTAGTATTGAGAAGATAAACAAAGTGCATAGTTACGATGAGCAAGGGTATTTCTTACAACTTTTTTTAAAACTTGTGATCCCAGGGTCGGGGGTTCTGGCGTTTTTCGGTTGAGGTTAGGGAGCTATATTGATAATATAGTGAAAATGTGTTGTTGTTGTTTTTTTTTTTTTTAAATATTTAAGTAAGTGCATAGTTATAAGTTCGAGGGTACCTCTTCCAAATTTGTGGTTTTCATTACCCTGGGTCATGGCATCTGGTGTAAGGGTAGGGATGTGTTGAATCTGTAGTTAAAATGCATTATTTCTTTGAAAATCTACTTTGCTCCATATCGGAGACACGCAGTGTTAAAATTTGAATAAGCAAGGGTGTTTTTATCAGATTTTTGAGCATCTGGACCATTTGATCAAGTGTTCTGGCCCCGGCCAGGGCTCTATTGATTTGTATTCTACTGAGATATTCCCCTTAGCCATTCACTGTAAATAATATATTTGAAAGGTTACATGAAATAGAAAAAGCGAATTATGCAAGAATTTTTATTGTGTAATACAAAAAGTACTTTTATAGTTTAAATAATCAGGTAGACATGTAAATAATAGATTAATAAAAATGAGACGAAATCACTTATCTCTTTAATTGTTCTTCAAAGACAAAAAGAAGCCAATGCGAGAGGTTATGATATGGGATTAAAATAGTACAGTAGCACTCTTTGTTAAGAGTCTGCATAGTGTTAATAATAAATGGGGGACGGATTAGAACATAATTTTTGTGTTGTTAATGAATACTAGACTAACTATATCATTGATCCTGATCACCCTATTTCTCTTGCTTTTAAGCAATAAAGCTTCATCTATCTTTTTTTTAATTTTTTTTAATCTATGGATCCTCTGAATTGTTGTATAATATTCAGGTGAGCGTTAAGGCCCTTAAGCCTCTTGTTTTAAGTGTGCTTTTCTTTTTTGAATTAATTTTTGCACTTATTATGCTTTTTTGAGATTAATGTTCCTAAAAAAAAACTCAGAATATTACTGAAAGATTTGTTAAGGGCGGATTAATTGGTGTATTTTGTTCTTGTGGAGTAATCCTTTTTATAATGCAAGCATTAATATTTAGTGTAGATTCAAAGTTTGTCCCCCACGGGCCAGAGTGAAACTTCAATAGGGGCAAGTTTTATTACATGTATATGGGAATTTAAAGAAAAAAATCTTAAAATCTTCTTAAGAATAGCAAGAGTGAGTCAAATGAACATTGTGGCCTTAGGACCTCTTGTACGGACGTGTCTGTATGTCTTTCGATTTGTCATTTAGATTTATTGATCATACATTTAAAATCTCTCACAATTAAGCATAATGATTTTTTTTTAAATGTATACATGATAGATTTTTTTATGTACTGAAAAGATCTGACTGAAAATGGAAACCATTTGGATAAATAATATAAACTTATAAGCCTAGATTTTTATATCTTGCTTGTATGCATATTCAGCATCACGTTTCAGGGCCCCGCTCTTTGCTTTTACAATGACGCAATCTTTGAAGAGGAGGACTGGGATGGAATCACAATGGTCAGAAAGAGCAATAAACAAGATGATCCACTTAAAGTTGGGAAATTTGGGATTGGATTTAAATCCGTGTTTCACATAACAGGTAATATAATTGTTAAATTTATAAAATATTTCAAACAAATTGTAGACTTCTATTTATACACATAATGTTTAAAAATATTGAATTCAGGTTAACGACGAATAGTGACCCCCATCGAAAGATGACCCCTGCATAACATCTCTTTATTCCCGTACTCTTTGTCATTTACTCATTTGGTTCATTGATGGATTTTTTTGTCGTTTTCTACAACCAATTTGCAGGGGGATGAGGCAATTGATCCTTAAAGTACTGTGGGCACTGTACTAGTATATGCAGTACTGTTTCAACCAGTCTCAGACTTGATACAAATGTGGTAGCTGACCATGTGTATAGGAAATGTCTCACTCATTTTAGTTCACAGCCTATGGTCAGAGTTAGGGTACGGTCTTACCAGTGTTGTAGACATGAATTGTACAGTATCATTTAATTATTGAATCCAAACCCTGCTTCAGAGATGGAATGCTTTTTAATTAATTGAGGCCAGGATTTCAAAAGTCAGTGAAAGTTATCCTGATTCCTTGACAGCGTTGTGGATGCGTTACCTAGAGTACAGGTTGACCTTTTCTTCTCAAACTTCTTAAAGAGATGATATGTAAGAAGATAATATGCTGATTCATTTGGGGTTTTTTACATTGTTTTGGACTCGATATGTTGAGTACAAAATACCTTGCAGTCTCAAATTTGATACAGATGTGGTAGAAAGCAGGAAAACAGACCTACACATTTTAGCTAAAATCAAGTTCAGAGAGTGCAAAAGGTGTAAACTGTGTTGTAAACGAACTGAATGGTCTCATGTTCTATAGAGATACATGGTGTTAAGGGGAGAAAACTCATTGAATAAAAGACGACTAAAAGATCAAAGGCTAAGAACAATTGATATTCATAAATTCGGAACACCATATCAAAATAATAGAATGAGTACAATTTAGAATATATATAATAATGTTAATTACTTTATTGTATAAATCTTTTCAATTTAAATTTGTTTTTGCAAATACTGAAAATTGTTTAAATATTTATGATTGCGAGACATGATTACATTTTATCATTGAATCGTCAATTTTGTTGTGCACTTTTTCAAAAATGACACAATGTTGACAAAAAACCCAGAAAAATTGGCATAAACGTTTTTGCAATAACCTTCTATTTAAAAAAAACACACACAAATGATTGATAATCATATGATCGATCATTTGTGTGTGTGTGTGTGTGTGTTTGTTTTTACCACTTTACATCTCAAATATAGGTATATTTATCACTTGACATTTGAGGTAAAGGTATTTAAATTTATTTTATAAACACTTTACCATTGTGATTCTGTATTATATCATTGAGACTTCATATTTTGAATGAGTTAAAAATTAGACTAATTAAAAAATGAAAACAAACATCGAATTTAGATCTAAATCATGCCATGATTATTTGCAACTTTTTCAGATTTCGTGTGTGTCATAAGTGGTGAAAATATCCTTTTTATTGACCCATTGCGTGAACAGATAGACCCCAATACCATGTGTCCCTTCAATACAATAGAAGAATTTACAGACCAGGAAATATGTGGTAAAAGAGGGCTAGAGCCACTTTATGGCTTGTTTGAAATTAATGAAAAAATAGTGGAAAAAGGACTTTATGATGGTACTTTTTTCTGGTTTCCTCTTCGCAAGTCTGCTTCAGAATTGTCCGAAAATATATACACACAGGAAAAAGTAGAAGACCTCTTCAACTCTCTCAAAGAAGAAATTGGAATTGAACTTTTATTTTTAACATCTGTTGAAGAGTTACATGTATGCAACATGTCAGGTAGCACTCTTGACACAGAAAGCTCTATTTCAGTAGATAGAAGTACAAGTTGGCTGGATAAAATGCCGGCAGAAAGATCTCAATACAAAGAAAAAATAAGGGAAATAGAAAGAGAACTCTCTAATGATGACTCAGCATTTTTCCACAACGATCCTATTCTGTTGAAAACAATTGTACAATACAAAATTCATCTGGATTCACAAGATTTTTTCCAGAAATGGCTGGTTGTTCAGTATTTTCACACTGGAAGTGTTTGCAGGGATGAGATAAATGAAAAATTGTCACAACTTGTAAAAACTCGGCACTGTAAATATAGACCCTATTTAGGTATTGCAGCCAGACTTGATTCACCCACTTCATCAGGGCGTGTATTTTGCTTTCTTCCATTGCCTTCTACCAATGAAAGTCCCACTGGTTTACCTGTGCATGTCAATGGATATTTTGCCCTAGACAGTAATAGACAACATTTAAAGTGGCCATCGCTTGATCAAACTGCTAGCAATTCACACTTGGAAAAGGATATGGATTGGAATGTATTGTTGGTACACAATATTTTACCAATTGTATACAGAGAGTTCTTGAATTCATGGAGCAATGACCTTAAAACTGAAATGGAAACTCATTTGGGAATGTTTTATCAGTATATACCAAGGGTATCAAAAGTTGATTCCCAATGGAGGCATGTTTGTAAAGGAGTTGAAGATCATCTTATTCACTCGGAAATACCCTGTCTAGAGAAAAAGCATTGGATAAAATTTCAAGATGCCTTTCTTGCAGTATTCCAAGAGGATGTATCTAGAAATGTACAATCAACAGTAAAAAGGTTGTTTGACAAATGCACAAAGAAAACAGTTATAATTGAAAATTATTCGGATCTGTACAATGAATGGGAAAAAATGTCATTTGTTCCGAAATGTACAAATCCAAAAGAAACGCTGAACATTCTTAAAATATGGAAGAACTATGAGCAGATGTCATCAAAAGAAAAGGAAGATCTGTTGATTTACTGCTGTAGTGATAGGCACTATGGACTTTCAAATTTGGATGGAATAAAACTAGTTCCAGTAGCCAATGGTGATTTTAAAATATTTTCAAGTGATAAAGCAATCAAAGAAGAAAGAATTTATCTTTGTGAGGAAAATGAACTTGAAATATTGATCGGCATGGAAGGATATCTTGTGAAAAATTCCAATACAGAACTTGGGAATGTTTTGAAATCTTTAGCAGCATCAGGTAAGAATAATTAAACATTAATATATTGTGACATACTTTTTTAAATAGAATATATTCATTTATAATCAATAGTTTACAATGTTTTACTTTGAGGCTTGTGTTGAATTTATTAAGGTGTACTCTTACAATGTTTTATGACTTTTTTCCGTTGCAGAGTTATACAATTTTCAAATCCTTGATGAAAACGATTTTTTGAGACTGCTGACTGATGTAGCTCCCGCGGAGGAAAGTTATGAAATAAAGCTTATAAAAGGCAGTGGAAAGGTGTTTGGAGACAAATGGTTACAGAAAGTATGGAATTATTTGAAAATTCACTGTCAAAACACCCTTTCTCCTGTAGCTGGAATGCCTCTTGTGAAAACGAAGGGGTGCGATGTTTTGAGAAAGTTATCAGACGCTTTTATCAGTGAGGAAAATATCGAATTTTCCATGAGAAACATCCTTGGGTATTTTAACATTTGGATTATTGATACTGCTTTTCATGATCATCCTTTATTGCAACCTGGAAAGGGTATAGTATTGCCATCATCGGACAATGGAAAAGAAAAGATTCTGTTAAAATGCATTGAAAAAGGAATGAACTCATTGAATTCTGGTTCCTCAGAAGAGAAGGAATTATTTAAAACATTCCTACCAAATACAGTTTCCCCTCCACTAATCAATGCAGTAGGAAAATTGGAAATATTCAAATGTTTCTCAAATGTTCAGGAAATGGTCAGCTATGCCTTTTTAAAGGAATGTTGCCATGTTTATGTTGGAAATGAGGATTTCCCTGTCTCATTCCCATGCAACATGATCATAGCTTCTTCAAAACACGAAGAGACACTATTGCTTAGAAACCCTCTATCGGTTAAAGTAACCTTAAATGTTGTTGTGGAGAAATGTTTATCAAAAATGAATCAAGATAGATATTTCTTGAAAGAGAAGGAGAGAAGGAATTTTTGCTTTTATGTTTTGGAAATGCATTCTTCTTTAACAAATTGGATAAGCATTCAAAGGAGTATAGCTGATATCAAATTCATTGAAAATAGAAGTGGGCATTTGCGTTCTCCACATCAGCTTTATGATCCAGATGATGACATTTTGAAAGATCTATTTCTTGAAGAGTCCAAATTTCCATCAGAGGCTTTAACAAAAGAGACTTTGTTAAAGAGTGCAAATGTGCAATTTCTGACAAGAACAAGTGCTACTCTGAAAGATGATATTGTGGCCACATGCAAGGGTCTTCATGAAAAAGCGTTCAGTTCTGCAACAAGTTTACGAAAGGCAAAAGCTCTGAATCAAATTCTTAACGCATATCCAAATTTATTTGACTCCATTTATTCATCGATAGAAAGATACAATATCATGCAATATCAAACCAACAGACCTGAAGACTATCCAAGATCACTCAAGTGGTATTCCGGCAAGGAAATTCTAGTTTCATTAAAGGAAATTTGTTCTGAAGAATGTGGATATCTGATGGGATCAATATTTCCAACTGCTTTGAAGGATTGGGAAAACCTTGTACTTACAAAACCCAAAGCTGTACCACTGAAATATGTGATACAGCATTTTATCAAAGTTACTGAATGTTACTGTGAGGAAGAGCTTGATAATTACAGATATGTTGTAAAAAAGATATACCAATATCTTTCAAAACAATCCGAAGTCAATATTTGGAAGAATCTTCTTCCAGACAAATGTATACTCACAGAACAAGGTTTTATGAAACCAGAAAGTATATATATTGAACGATACAACAATGATTTGAATTTGACTCCTTACTTTTTTCCTTTGGAGAAAGAATATGGTGCAATTCAAAGTCTTTTCAAAAAGCTAGGATGTAATACGAAACAGACAGCTGATTTGCTCATCGAAACTCTACACAAGATAAACTCTAGTCATTCATCAGAAATGCCTACGTCTGATTCTAAATGCGACTTGAAAATAGTTCAAAATATCTTAAAAACTTTAGCAAAAACATATTCCTTGGAGGTACCCAATTTGAGGCATAAGATAATCGTACCAATTCACCAAAAAGATGACAGCTATCTTGTGTTTAGACGTTCAGAAGAATGTGCATATTGTGAATCAGATTGGTTTAGTAGAACCTTTACAGATGAAGATTATATTACTCTAGTTCATTCACAAATTGACAAGGAGGATGCTAAGGCTGTTGGGGTAAGATCCTTAAAAGAATTAACATTATCTGATGCAGAGGATATAATCACCGAATTTGGACAATCTGAACCCCTCACATCTCGATTGAATCGTCTTCTAGAAGAAGGATATACTGATGGACTCTCTGTGCCAAAGGAACTTATTCAAAATGCAGATGATGCTGGAGCATCCGAAGTGTGCTTCCTTTATGATGAAAGGGAAAACGAAAATGCTAGAAGTTGTCTTTTAGACCAAGGCATGGAAAGCTGTCAGGGACCAGCCTTATGGGCTTTTAATAATGCGGATTTCACACCAGAAGATTTCGAAAATATCCAGAAATTAAGTGGTGCTACAAAACGAGATGATGAGACAAAGATTGGAAGATTCGGATTAGGTTTCAATGCTGTATACAATTTGACTGATGTTCCTAGTTTTCTTAGTGGAAAATATTTAGTTTACCTAGATCCCCATCGCAAATATCTAGGAAATACGACCTTAAATGAGAAAAGCCCGGGTATTAAGCTGAATCTTCACAACAAAGTCATGCTTGAAAAATTTGAAAATCAGTTTAAGCCATACTATAATGTTTTCGGATTTGTACCCACAGAACTTGCTAAAGGCAACTGGTTTAGTGGGACTTTATTTAGATTTCCTTTACGAACTAATGAACAGGCAAAAACCAGTGAAATTTTGCAGAAAGCATACACAAGGAACGAAGTAGAAAAATTGTTGAAAGTGATCTGCAAGTCATGTGGGAACATGCTTCTTTTTACTCAGAATGTTAAAGTTATTAAGATATTTCACTTAAAGAGAGAAGGAAAAAATCCCGACGAGGAAATGGAACTAGTTCTAAGTGTTCAAAAAGAGGAAAAAACAGTCTTTAAGACTCATGCTGAAGAAAGTTTCTTAGCTTGCGCTGCAAAACTCAGCGATAAATTGGAGGGTTTGACAACAATTTGCAAGACAAGAATTACAATAAAGGGTATGTGTCAGTCTTGGCTTGGCACAACTGAGCGTATTAACCATGGTGTAGATTGGATATTAGTCTGGACAACAGGGAAATCCGATTCACTACAACTCTACAAGAAAAAGAAAAGTGATGGTGCATTACCAATATCCAGTGTCGCCGTGCCCATTGAAAATATTGAGGAAAACGCAATTCCATTGCTTTTCTATAATGAATTTCAAAAAAGATATCAATATGGTTTCTTTGACACTGGCCATTTATTTTGCTTCCTCCCACTACCAATACAAACTGGGTTGAACTTTCATGTGAATGGAATTTTTGCCCTCTCATCCGATCGGAAAAGATTAGTGATGCAGAGTGAAGATGACAAAGAAATATCGGGTCAAAGTGTTTGGAATACCAGTGTGATATCTGATGCAACGTTAGAGGCTGTATTGTTATTGCTGCTAGATTTAAAAGATCGATGCTCTGAAAGTTACAATTATACAATGTTATGGCCAGATCAATGTTCTGATGGTATTTGGGAAGATTTCCAAAGAATATTTTACAAAGCATTAGCTGAGCGACCATTAGCCCTTTTCAGGACGCACTTCGGATGGAAATCATTTCAGGAATGTGTGTTTTTACATCCAGATGTCTGTGCAGATGTGAAGCTGAAAAACATTGCATTCAATATATTACAAGGCAACCACTCAAATGGGAGAGTGGCGGTTGATCTGCCAAACAATTTCTTTTCAAAATTTGAAAAGTTCACTGGAACGGATTTTAAGAGGCAAGTTATAACCTATGAACATTGCATAACTGAATTATTTCTGCCATATCTCTCAAATTTTCAGGGACAAGAATATGATGAAATCGTTATAGAAGCCATACAGAGCGGAAATAGTAACATTCTAGCTGCTATTAAGGAATCGGAATGCATTACAACACTTGCTGCTGGAATAAGAAAAGCGCCTGGAAATCTTGTACATCCGAAATCTTCCCTCAAAGAAATTTTTCTGCCTGACGAAGAGTTTTTTCCAGAGAACAACTTTTGTAAAGGTGACGTTTTAGATATTCTTGTTGACCTTGGTATGATGAAAGAACAGATTCCATGGGAACTCCTACTACTACGAGCAAAAAGCGTCATTTTAACAGGAGACCGCTGTTCTTCATGTGCGCTTACATGTTCAAACGAAATTCTAAAACATATTCATAATTTTTTTGATCAATTACCAGATGAAACTAGAGAGAAATTGTCTTATGTGAAATTTTTGCCATCAAAAGAGAAACCAAAAGACTGGCAATGGAAATGGTACACCGGTACATTGAAGCAAACCACTGTATCACAGAAATGCACAATCCACAGGTATGATGAATTAGGTCAAAAGAGTCCATTCTTACTCTTTGAAAAACCTTCGAATTTATTTTTTCAGTCAAACAGAAATTTGGTTGCTTGCACTGAAGCAATTCTTGATTTTTACACTGAGGAAGACTTATACAGTGTAGTATTGAAATCAATAGGTGTAAAGTGCAAGAGCGATATAAAACAGCAGACATTAAAGTTACAGCTTCAGGAGGTAATTGAAAACTCAGATGATGCAAACGATAGAATTGTGGAAGAGGTATGCTTTGCAGTGTATGAAGCTCTTGAAGAAAAGCTTACAAAAGGAGAATGGCATGAGTTTGTTGAAAATGACCTTTCAATGTTGCCATGCATTTTGATCAGTAAAACATTTGTTAATGCAAAAAAAGTGTTTTTCTCATTAGGAATTGACTGTAGTCCTTACATATACGGAATCGAGAAAACATCCCTGGGGCGATACTCAAAATTGATGAAAACACTTGGTGTGAGAGAAGAAATTGCCACTGAGGAAATCATCCAAATTCTATCAAAACTCGAGAAAAAATACGAAGGCAAGCAGTTATCAGATACAGATTTGAGTTTAACTTGCAACATTATAAAGCTCTTAGAAGATTCCTGTAAGATTCCATCTGGAGACATTTATCTCCCTGATACAAATGGACACCTTCGACTTGCCAGGTACTTGTGTATGAACGATTTTAAATGGATTCCAGAAAAAGATTCGATGTATTTCTTGCATGAAAAAATATCTCCTAAAGTAGCGACACTTGCTGGTATAAAATCAAAGAGAGAGCATTCTATTCTTGAAGACTCGGAAGATATTGGATATGAATTTGGACAACATGAAGATCTTAAAACTAGAATTAGATCTATCTTGGATGGATATCCAGACACTAGTATTTTACAAGAGTTGCTTCAGAATGCTGATGATGCTGGTGCATCAGAGCTTCATTTCATCATTGATCAGAGAAGTCATGGAACAGAGAATGTTTTCAGTGATAATTGGGCAGAAATACAGAGACCTGCTCTTTGTGTTTACAACGACAGCATATTTACTGAGCACAATTTTCAAGGAATTCAGAATTTAGGTATTGGAAGTAAACGTGAAGATCCAACTGCAACAGGACAGTATGGTATAGGTTTCAACGTTGTTTATCATCTTACAGATGTGCCCTCATTTCTCACAAAAGATTCATCGAAGTCTCTAGATACCTTATGTATTCTTGATCCTCACTGCAAATATATTTTAAGTTCCTCTCTTAAAAAACCTGGTAGAATGTTTCCAAATGCATCAAAAACAGTCAAAGTGAATTATGTAGACATCATGCCATGTTACCTGGAAGATACCGATATATGGAAAAATTTTCGTGGTACATTATTTCGTTTTCCGCTTCGACAAAGGTGTGATTCTGAACTGTCAACAAAAACATATTCAATCGAGAACATAGAACGAATGTTTGAAGATCTGCAGGAAAAAGTACCAGAGTGTCTCCTTTTTTTACACAATGTAAGATCGATAATATTTTCAAAAATAACAATTTCTGGGTCGTTAGAAAGAATGTTTTATGTAGATGCTAAATGTGAAAATATATTACCTAGCAAGGTTTCGTTATTTTCTCTCTTGGGAGATTCAAAGAAGCAAATGGTTGAGAATCCTGAAGAAATCTGTAAAATCCAGCAAAAAGTGTTCAAGTGTTATCTAGAAATGGACATCAATGGATTACAAACGCAAAAATGGTTGTTAGTGAATGGATTTGGTTTCAATGCGCAATACAGTAGTATTCCTTTCTCTGTCCGGGAGGCTTATAAGATTGGCCGATTAGCATTGTTACCTTTTGCAGGTGTTGCTGTCTTCATAAAAAATGAAAACATCGCCGACATAGATAAAGAGGCGAGTGAAAGCCAAGGACGTGAACATCCGTCAATGTTTAAAGCTTTTTGTATTTTACCTTTACCAAATGCCACCGGTTTACCAATGCATATAAATGGACATTTTGCCATAGACTCTGAAACTCGTAAGCAAATTTTTTGGGTACCAGATGACTGCAATAGTATTAAACAACATTGGAACACATGCTTAATAAACAACGTACTGGTGCCAACCTATGTCTCAGCCGTCGAACATGTTCGGGACATGCTATTCAGTACAGATATAATAGAAAGTAATTCGGAAAGCATTGAAAGATTCTACAAAGTATTTCCCAACAATCGAAATATAGGAAGCAAGATTTGTGAATTCATTGCAAAAAAGATTTATGAATATTTATTTCAGAACGATTGCAACGTTCTGCCAATATTTAATAAATACGATAAGCCTGCAAACAGCACAACAACAAAATATGGTAAATGTTTCCCTTATAAAAAGAAAGCGAGTTCAAAGGATTCCTCTTCTGAAGAACCAGAACTGTTAAGAGTATCTTGGGAATCAATGGTAAAAGTAACATTGAACAAAACTTATTCTGACAAATTTTCTGTAAAGTTGAATGTCATACCTGCATTGATGAATACGTTTGGAATGCAAATAGTAGAGCCCCCAAAATGGATCTTTGATAGTATAAAACAAATCGGATTAGATGTAAATATCTTCTCGCCAATTTCTGTAATCAGTTTTCTTAAAAAGCAAAAAGATCATGAGGCATACAAATTTAATCTCTTAAGGACCGACGTTCCAGTTGAACAAACAGGGTTTAAGGATTGTGAAACCGTTTGCTCTGTTCTAAACTTCTGTGTCGGAAGCTATTCTTTACCAAATGAAAATTTAGAGAATGTGCCTCTACTTTTAACCGCAGATGGGTTCATAAGAGTTTTTTCAACAGATCGAAAAGTTTTGCTTACAAGTTTTCCAAATTTGTTTCCAATGTCGGCAAGTCTGATTGCTCACGAAAAAGAACTCCACATTCTAAGAAATTGTAATTCTATTTTCTTGGATTTTATTGAAGAGTTGAGAATTGAAAATTTCTCTGAACATTTAAGTGAAAATTTTGGAAAAGAAATGTGTGGAACCTTTGTTAAGCAATGGTGCCCTTCTTCGGAGATGTTACCAAACAAACAATGGATGTATAGTGTCTGGAAATTTTTATCAGAACAGTTTAGTGACTTTTGTTTTACATGTAAGAGGAAGGAAACTTATCATATTTGTACTCGTTCAAAAGAGCAACTTTTAAAGGAGTTTTCAGATTTATTATTGTTACATTTGGAAAGATGTAACATTTTACCTGTGACAAGAGGAAACAATGGACTATTCATTTTTCCGCTCAGAAGCGGATCGAGAGTCCTACTCACACGGGGATATAAAAGAGAACACCAAGCTTTGCTGAATATGAATGTTCCATTGATTGACTTAGAATGTATCCCTAACGAAGGAAAATTTGCATATGATTTATTGCACAACTTGGTAGCAGATATGAACAATGTTTTTTCCGTGCTTGAATGTCTTCAGTGTAATTCTTCTAGCCTGATATGTGATAACAAATCTGTTGATACCATACTAACCTTTCTCAAAGATCAACTAGAGATTCTTCGAACAAAAGAGGAAAGTAAACAAAAATTGAGAAATCTACCAATATATTTTAGTATATCTGATACATTTAAATCTGTAAAGGACAGAAAAGTAATCCTACTTACAGATGAAATTCCCAAAAATGGACTGTTGGAACTGGGTGATGTAGAGAGAGTCATCTTTCTGCCTGTAAACAAAACGTTTTGTCGGCTCTATGAATTTCTAGAATTCACGGAACCTAGCAAGTATGATTTATATATCATGCATATTATTCCTAAGTTTGAACTTTTACCAACCCGTGCATTTGTAGAACACTTGGAATTTATCAGGGACAACCTTCTGCCTCATCTTTTAAATACTGAAATAATGAAAGAAAAAAGAGAACAAATAAGAAAGTTGTTAAAAGAAACAGCTTTTTTAATGAGAGAAGATCGTCATCTTGCAAGAGCTTGTGAATTTTATAATCCACATGAGGTATTGTTCAAGTTCGAAAATCAGCTTTCTCTGGCTTCAGAATTGCCACCAAAACCATTTAATAAAAAAGTGTGGGAAAAATTTCTCATATTTTCTGGAATGATGTGCGAAATCAATATCACTGCTGATATATTTATTGCATTTGCTAAACGTTTACAGAGTTTGGCAGATAACACGGGCATCAATGACATAGTAGAAAACAATTCCAGTCATTTGCTGAAGATCTTATTCACTGGACCCTTTAATTTCTCGGAGGACCGAACAATCTTACGTAAAGTGAGGGAACTGAGAATTATTTGTCCTCATAAGATGGATGACATTTGCTTATCCTTCCTCAAACAGTACACAGATTCAGGGCGTCTTATATGTTATAGTGAAGCCACGTTACCATCGAATGGTTTGATTGCATGGTCACAAATGAATATTATTTCGAACAAAGCAGACCCATCTCGTCTTCTGCAGGATAGTCTTCACCTACCATATGTCATGGTAGAATTAAACATACGCAACCCTACTCTTCAGTCCGTAGTTGCTCATATTCAGACATTTTGTTCCTCCCTCCAACCGTTACTAGAGCAATTAAAGTATGAAATTGTTGAAAAGGAAGTAGCAAATATCATGCAAGAAGCCTATGAATACTTGTCTCTACATGGAAACGCTTGGTCAATTGAGATCTTAAGTGCCGTTCCATTTGTTTTCTTAAAAGAAAGAAAGATATTGACAACTCCTAATCGTGTTGTTCTAAATTTGAGAGAAACAGACGAAATTTTTCCATATCTCTGCAAAGCATCCGCATTTTTTGGTCAATATCAAGAACTTTTTAAAAAGTATGGAGCAGAAAAAGATGCAAAAAGCAGTCACTATGCAAAAGTTCTTTATGAAATTAAATCAAAGTCAAGTGATAGGGAGTTAAATTTAGACGAACTGAAAAGCGTTCAGACAGCTATTAAGGCGATTTTTAGCATTAGAAGGTCCGAAAATATCGATGTACATTTGGGCGTGCGCACGCTGTATCTCCTGACTAAAGCAAGTAAGTTGGAGGACAGCAAAGAAATGGTGTTTATCGACAACATTCTTCTGCAAAGACGAATCGGCGTAAACATGCCTACTATCAGTTTTTTCATAGGTTTTAATAGTCTTCAAATGGATGTTAAAGACCAGATGTCAGAGATTAAGCTTCTACCCGAAAAAGTCAGACCGCAGTTACTTTCCAGACTTGTAACGGAAGTTTTAGAAGTGAATAGCAGTAAAACCATAATAAAAAATTCTGTTACTGCTTTGTGTCTGGAAGCTTTTATTTGTTCTCCTGAATTTTTGGAAGGAATATACAGAATTATTCTAGATAAACATTCTCGATGTGACATGTCTTTCTCGGAGGCGGAACAACTGACTGTGGAACGCAAACTTAAAAACATTTCTTTCACTCAGCTTGAATACCTGACAACTGTGCTGGAGTATGACGATAAAGTTCTGCCAAATACAGAAGAAACAAACACAGTTTTCGCAAAGAGGAAAACAATTGCGAGTGGTGAAATGCTTTCCATTTACTTCACAATGTGCGGATGTACAAGTACAATTACATGGATGAATACAAATTCAATATCAATATCAACGCAGATAAATGATTATCTTGACAATATTCTGGGAGATAGAATTATATTCCTGCCAAAAATTCTAGAATGCTTCCAAAATGCTGCTGCCATCCCTTGTGTGTTAGACAGTCTGAAGATAATGAAATCTGACGGATCAATTCCTGGTCCAACAGTCCAACCAGAAACACTTGTACCAGTTCCAGCCCTTCCTCCGTCGGAAAGTGAACCTCAACATGAAGAAGCCAAAAGATGGATATTTCAAGCAGAAAAGGATTTTGTTGCTGCTTCCAACGATTGCTTCCCAGATTATTATAACTGGGCCTGTTACAAATGTCATCAGGTAATCCATTTGATATTTGTAATTCAAAAAATCCCCCCTTCTCTCTTTCTCTCTCTTCTGAGAAAAACCTGTTAAAATCTGGGGGGTTTTAAGGTCACCTGAGACACTCAGGTGACCTATTGCTATCTCTTTTCGTCCGTCGTCGTGCGTCGTGTTTTATCATATGTACATTTTCAGCTTCTTCTCTGAAAAGGCTGAACCAATTTGAACCATTGTTGCATATAGTATCTATGGGTGAAGGGGAACAAAAATTGTGAAATTCATGGCCCCTGTCCCCCTGAGGCCTGAGTGGTTGGGCTAAAACCATCAAAATTAATGAAATCTTTTAAAATCTTCTTTACTTCTGGCCATCAAGCAGTCAAACTATTAGCATGATTGTAATAAGCATTGAGTCCTCTACCAAAATTGTGAAATTCATGGCCCCGTGTCAGGGGCTCTGGTGCTAGGGTGGGGCTCTGTTGAATGTATAGTGAAATGCATTTTTCTGTAAAAATCTTCTCTTCTGCTCCTGGATATTCAGCAACCAAACTCAATGCATAGTTATGATGAGGAGTGGTGCCTCTTCCAAAATTGTGAAATTTATGGCCCCAGGGTCAGGGGCTCTGCTTCTAGGGTGGGGTGGGGCTCTAATGATTATATAGTGAAAATGCATTTTTTCTTTGAGGATCTTCTCCTCTGTTCCTGAGTATATACGAAAGAAACTAAATACATAGTTATAATGTGATGACGAAGGGTGCCATTTTCAAAATTGTGAATTTCATTGCCCTTGCGCAGCTAGGTTATATTAAGTACTCCCATATCTACGTCAGTCTATGGAGAGGTTCAGGAAAGCTATTATGGCGTCACGTTAAAACAATTCAAATGGACCTCGAAGAATAAATACTATATGATCTTTTTAAAACACACTAAAATACTTTAGTTTCTCATAAATATTATAAAAATAAATGAATGTGCAACTTATCTTGCCAAAATAGCACTTTGAGTATGTAGAATGAAAACCAGCTTGATCTCGCTGTACTTACTGAGATGACATCATTTCTTTGTTTGACACGCAGTTTCTCTGTACTTGAGGCGTGGATCAAGCTATTATGATAATCGTAGCTTGTAAAAATAAAAATAAATACGAAACAAACTTAATTGGACTAAAATAAAGACATATTTTAAAATAAATTTATCATCATTTGATTATCAAACTAAATTGATAATGTGTAGACCTTATATATAGCCGTAGGGAGCACATTTGTACAGCAATGTGCTAGAATGAAGGGTCCAGCCCCTCGGAAATATCAAAAGTTCAACAATATCCGCTTCACTATAAATTCTGAATTCTTTAAGTACGTGTAGCTATTATTCCTACTATTCTGAAAAGTGTTGGGAGCTGGTTGTGCATTGTTTATTTATTCCGTCATGTAACATTATTCTAGTGCTTATTACATCTATGTCTTGAGTTTCTAGAAAGACGGCTAAATTTTACAAAATTCATTAGCATGCGGAAGTTGCTCCCAGCACTTTTCATGTTAAGAAATTTGTCTTTAAACAAAACAGAATAAATTTTATAGCGGAAAGATACCCGTTTATCGTTGAACTTTTACGATCTTTGTAGTAGTACATATATGTTCTAATTTGAAACTGTCACGTGACAAACAGCTGATGTAAGCGATGTCGCTTTGGCCGAACTCGGCAGAGACCCGATATATAAAAGGCAAACATCACAAAGCATATTCATCAAAACTAATGATGTTAAATTTAAAATTGTATTCATTTTCTCTAAATATATAAGGCGTATATATATGGGCGTCCTTAACCTTGCTGCATGGGTCAGGGGTTCTGGTGTTTTGGGCGGGGCTCTTATGTTCATATAGTTGAAAATTTAAGTATTAAGCCCATGAATTAAGTACATATATATTATGAGGAAGGAATCCTATTCCTAAATTGTGAATTTCATGGACCCTTGGTCAAGGGTTCTGGTGTTAGGGCGGGGCTCTAATGATTATATAGTGAAAAGTAAACAGTAAAATCCATTAATTTTTTCGAAATCTCCTTGTCTGCTCCTGGGTATTAAGCTGATGAATCAAGTACATAGTTACAGACACGTGCCATAAGTCACCGGCAAAAATTAAAAATGGCGGCGAATGAAAAAAATATCGCAGAATAAAAGCATTGTTTACCTTCAAAAAGCGTTGTTGTCTGTTCTATTTTTAGTATTTTGGAATTCCCCCGGATTTCTTGTTACGTAATTTCCGGAAGCTAGATAGTCGTCTGCACTATTTTTAATAGATTGTTTACAGTTTCAAAAATGGCAGAAAAAAGGAAAGAATTGAACCCTTATGTGAAAAATATTATTGTTTCAATGTGGAATGAGGGATATACATTACAGCATATTGCTGATACACTCAACATTCGTCGTCGAACAGTTTCCGATGTTATAGTACGATTTAATAAGAGGGGGAGCACTGAAAACAAACCTCGAAGCGGGCGACCACGGATTCTTGATCCCAGGGATGAAAGGTGTTTAGTGAGACTGGTTCGGACAAACCGTAAAACTCCTTTGGGTGATTTAACCAACAGATTTAATCAACATAGACCCAGACAAGTGTCTCAACGAGCAGCTCAGAGGTGTTTATATCGGTAAGGGTATCACAGACGTGTTGTAAAGAAGAAAGTGAGAGTGAGGGAAGTGAACAGGAAAAAGAGACTGAACTGGTGTAGGGGTAAAGTCAGGTAGAATGTAAATGGTCAATGGGATAAAGTCATTTTTACTGACGAAAGCCAGGTTGTTTTGGGTGCGAATCAGAGGATTTTCATATGGCGTCGCAAGGATGAAGCCGAGTCTCCCGAGTGCGCCTGTCCTCCAGCTCAACGAAAGGTCAGTGTTATGATCTGGGGTTGCATAACCTGGCATGGTGTAGGAACTGTAACAACTGTTGACGGTACTATTAACAGACACAAGTATATTGAAATAATTTATGGCCCGTAATAGCACGGCACTTTCCTAATGGAAATTTCTTGTTTCAAGATGGCAATGCCCCTATACATAGAGCCAGGGATGTTGAAAATTATAAGGCTATGAATAATATTAATTCTATAAGCTGGCCAGCACAATCGCACGATTTGAATATAATAGAAAATGTGTGGTTGAAACTGAAAAGACGATTGCAATGTCGCGCTGAAAACATTCAGACTGCTGCTGAACTTTCACATGCAATAACGCAGGAGTGGCAAGCTTTGACAGTAGAATATATACAGGGCCTCTACAGATCTTTACCAAAACGTATGAGAAAAGTAATCAGGGTGAAGGGGGAAATGACAAAATACTGAACACAGGTATGTCATTTTATTATATTTATTTTCCATTTAAACAATCCCGTAACACAACGTAAACAAAGCCGTGACGCCATTTTTGCCGGTGACTTATGGCACGTGTTTGTATGTTGAGGAAGGGTGTCTCTTCCAAAATTATGAAAGATGTGGCCCCAGAGTCAGGGGTTCGAGGAGGGAGTTATGTAATACATACTGAAAATAAAATAATGCTATGAAATTCTTCTCCTCTGCTCCTTGGTATTAAGGAAACAAACTAAATGCATAGTTATGATGAGGAAGGTGCCTCTTCCAAAATTGTGAATTTCATGGCCCTGGGTCAAGGGTTTTGGTATTTGAGAGGGGCTCTATTGAGTTAAAGCAAAAAATACATTAATACTTTTAAAATCTTCTCCTCTGCCCCTGAGTATTAAGCAAACAGACTAAATGCAATAATATAAAATATTAGATATGAATATAAGAAAATATGCCTTTTCTCTGCTCCTGTGTATCTAGAAGGAAAACAGAGTACAGAATTGTAGTAAGTGAAGCAAATGCGAGTTACTCCTCTTTGCTAAATTTGTGAACATTTAAGAAATTCTTGTATATAATTTAATTACAGGTTATTTGATTGAATGAGAATTCAAGAAAGAATATTATATATATAAAGAAACAAAATAAAAATGAATGTTTGGTTTAAGCAAGCAAAGCAAGCTCAAAGTAGGGCTTTTGCTTGGAAAGCAATATAAACGTTTGTTTTGAAGATTATTTATGTAGCAAAGGGCCAGTTATATTTATTATGCATATACTTTTGTGTCTTGTTTGACAAATGATGAATTCATTTCTGTATCGTTTACCCCCTTATGAACAATATTACAAAAATAATGCTACCAGACATCTAGAAGGGAAAATACTTTCACATAAAATAAAATTTACTTTTTAGGTCACCTGAGTTACTCGGGTGACATATTGCTATCTGTTTTTGTCCGTCGTCGTGCGTCATTCGTTAATATTTGAACATATTCTGCTTCTTGTCTGTACCAATTTCAACAAATTTCGGCAGATAGCATTTATTGATAAAGGGGAACAAAGATTGTGAATTTCATGGTGCCTGTCCCTTTGGGTTCTGGGGGGTGGAGTTAAAATCATCAAAATTGGTGCTATCTTAAATAATATTTTCTTTATTCCTAGATATCAATCAGTCAAACGGTTGGCATGATTGTAATAAGCGTTGAGCCCTCTACCAAACTTGTGAAATTCATGATCCCAGGGTCAGGGGCTCTGGAGTTAGGGTGGAGCTCTATAGATCAAATAGTGAAATGACTAGTACATTATTGCTTAGAAATTCTCCTTCTCTGCTCCTGGATATTAAGCAATCAAACTATGTGCATAGTTATGATGAGCAAGAGTATCTATTCCAAAATTTAGAATTTCATGGCTCCTGGGTCAGGGTTTCTTGTGTTAGGGTGGGGCTGTATTGATTATATAGTGAAAAGCATTGTTGCTTAAAAATTCTTCTTCTCTGCTCCTGGTTATTAAGCAGTTACATTAAGCAAACAACTAAATGCATTGTCATAATGATCACGAGCACCTCTTCCAAAATTGTGAATTTCGTGGCCCCTGAGTCAGGGGTTCTGATGTTAAAGCATTGTTCTATGGTTTATATATTGAAATTACATTGATTATTTGAAAATCTCTGAGTG